CTAATGCAACTAGCTTATACTCCCTCGGATTTCACCTGCTTTTCAAATCGCTTCAAGTGAGACGATAGATCTTAGTATGTATGTATAAGAAAGTGTTCAGCTAACAGTCAATACTCAGCTATCACACGTATAATCGTTTATATTCATTCAACCGGATGTAAATGTAAACGTTTCCTTCGATTGAGGAAACATGAAATTAAAAACAGAGATTCATTTAACTATCGACTAAAATTACTTCCGCTTTTGGCTTTGCAATTCAAACAAATCATGTTTTTCAACTGAAACACAGTGAGAAAATTTCAAAAAGGAAAACACATTTTCAGTGCTATAGTGCTTATTTATAAAACAACGTTCCCATGCAAGCTGACCTTCGCCATAAGATATTTTTCATTTGTTTTTATTTTAAATTTTGTTTCAAAACCATATTTAACCGTGCGTTAGACTGCGGGTAAACGCGTTAGTGTTTTGTTTATAAATCTGAGGCAATATTTTTAACTGAGGAACATTTAAGAACTAGGCTTGAATGCAGGGGGAATATCGCTACTGACATCAGTATCCTCGATATATCGCCATGGAGCTCAAAACTCACGCAGATGAGATCATGAAAAACGTTTCATTTGCAGACATGCAGTGCGCCATGTGTTTCCGATAATGTTCTAATCTATTAAAAGATCTTTTTCAACTAAAATTTAAATTAAAGCAGGCGAGCTTTTATCACCAGTTCGAAATTACTTGGGCTTTTCAATTAGTCGTGATTATAAGGACCGGAAATTTTTTAGCAGTTCGGTGGTGGACACGAGCAAACGGTTGATGACAGATTGACTGCGCCAATCACTCCGGGATAACGCATAATTAATTCAACAGAGTTCAACTTACATTTTTGCTGAACGGGTTTCAAATTATCACCATCTGTTTCTTTTGATTCTCCTTGTAGCATTCCGAGCTCAGCTGCAGAAGAAGTCGTATAATCAAGGTAAGTTTTTTGTGCAAAAGAGTGGCCATTGTTGAAGCAAATGGGATACAACGATACTGAATACGAAAGAAATGCACGAAGCAAATCCAGTAACTAGTGTCTGTAGATCAACGACCGTTTTTTAAGCCTTCATTCAACTCAATCAATTCAAGTTATAAGTGTGGTTCGATCAATTCAAACGATAAGCTATAGCACTCAGCACAAGTGGGTGAACATGCCCTAAGTTACTTACCTCGTTTTTTTCTCCTCAGATCAGACAGTCCCATCTTTGGGATCTTCCTTGAACACCTCGCCAAAATCCGACGATTCACTGGAACGATATTCCAGAAAGGTGTTTGTCGGTGGTCTTCCTCCTGACATAGATGAAGGTAGGTTCAATGAAAGCCTAAGCCTCTACAAAAATCATAGACATAGATTCAACAAAGATTCTTACCATCTTTTAAAACAAGTGTTGCTTGCCTGAGTAAGAAAAGTCTAAGAGAAGAGTAATTTAGAATTCCTCACCTGCACGTTCTGCTCTTTTTGCGATCGTTGCGAGAAGATTGAGAGTGATTTTACCATTCTATAGTTGAAATCCACGCGAGTTTTTGTAAGTTTGGGAACCTGACAGTTGATTGGCCACACAAAGCTGAAAGCAAATCTTACTTCCCTCCAAAAGGTGAGTTAGTAGCACCGATATAAACACCATTGATAACAACTTTTTGGACTTCATTTTATCATAAAACACCGCACATTTTTCCAAATTCGTTATGCAGCGAACAGGAAACAGTTTTTGACAAAAACATTGAATTGTTTACCTCAGGTTATGCGTTCCTGTTGTTCCTTGAAGAGATCTCAGTGCAACGTCTCATTGAGGCTTGCATTGAACAGGATCAAAAGCTTTATCTGTGCGTCTCAAGCCCAACGATCAAAGACAAACCGGTAAGGATCCAAATTTACCTTAACTTTGACTACTAGACTTGTCAGGGAGACAGAACGGTAGTGACTAGCTGTACTGCAAAAACCAGAATATAAAATATAACGTGTTTAAGTGAAAGGGATCACAATGCCCGCTTGGCATTGAGGATGGGTCCCGTTGATCTCGTCTATTTAGACTGCTGAAGCCTGCAAAATTTTAAGCTTTAGAGAGGGATTGAGTAATTGACATGTTAACCTGTAAAAATATAGAATATAACAACGAACTCACCTTAAAGGGTGAGGTCTCCGATGTTTTACAAATGTTACAATGAATTATTTTCAATAAATTCATCTCGTTCCTGTCCTAAGGTACAAATTCGTCCATGGTGTTTATCAGATGCCGACTTCGTCATGGATGCCTCTCAAGTGCTCGACCCACGAAAGACAATATTTGTCGGAGGCGTCCCACGTCCCCTCAGAGCCGTGGAACTCGCCCTTATCATGGATCGTCTCTACGGTGGCGTGTGCTACGCTGGCATTGATGTTGACCCCGAACTGAAGTACCCAAAAGGTATGTTCAGTGGATGGAAAAAAACTGGCCGATGGTTGACCGGGGAATGCGGTAAAAACGTAGGAGGAAGGGGAGACCTGCGCGGGCAATTTAAAATTATTCCATCCAAAACATTTACAAAATCCTGTCATCACAGGGAGAAGTATTTCTGGAAATGCGTTGTCGCTTGGGCTTACGTTTTTTTCAAAACATTTCAGGTGCTGGACGCGTGGCTTTTTCTAACCAACAAAGTTACATTGCCGCTATTAGCGCACGATTTGTTCAGCTTCAACACGGAGACATTGATAAGCGGGTGAGAAATTACGATTCCTGTTGAAAAACTACAATCTTCAGAATTCCCATGAGGGAGCGCAGAGCAGGCAGCTCCCATATAACCCCACCCTTTACTCCGAAAGTGACTGTTTGGGTCTCTGCTCATTCAAGAGCACTTTTTATTCAGTTATCACTCATTTGTTTCTTTGCTCGCACGCTCAGGTTGAAGTGAAGCCATATGTCTTGGACGATCAAATGTGTGATGAATGTCATGGGGTGCGCTGTGGCGGTAAATTCGCGCCATTCTTCTGTGCCAACGTCACGTGCTTGCAATATTATTGCGAGCAATGCTGGTCGATCATTCACTCGAGAGCTGGGCGCGAGTTTCACAAACCGCTGGTCAAAGAGGGTGCCGATCGTCCACGCAGTTTGCCGTTCCGATGGTGAACGAAGCACTGGGCACTAACGAAGAAATTCTGGCGCGAAACAGGTTTTTAACAAAAGGAGGGGTGTAAATATTATGAATAGCGCAGTTCAGTTTTGTACTTGCCTTTGTAAAAGCGATGCCATTTTACTCCACATAACCACAGAGCATACAGAGGTTTGACTTTGCATTAATTATGCGTTCCTGGCGGCCATGTTGTTAGCCAGTGCGCTAAAGAGAGGCCCTATCCCCCCGAACATTATAAATAGCCATCGCTATATAAATAAACAGATCGCTCCCACTTCTATACTCTTCTATACTCTTCTAAAGGATAAAAACTAACAAAATCTGGTTTTGAGAAAAAAATTGAGCAACGTTTTTGTCAAAAATACGATTTCTCCAGATAGTTCTGTCTCGGCTGTTTATATTCCATACATGTGTTCAAGCCGCCGCCATATGCATGATTTCCCGGGGGGAGAAACCTCTCTTGAGCGCACTGGCTAAGCCAGGGGTACGCAAAATTAACAGCAGTCAAACCTCTGTATGCTCTGTGACATAACTCAACAGTCCAGATATATTTCAGTCCGTAAATTAACCGCTAGACGATGATCTCAATACACGATTAATCTGCTTCGATTTAATCAATAATAGTGCATCGCTTACAAACGATTGCAAATACTGAACTCGTGACGAAAGGGGAATTTCTTCAGATTCAAAAGGATCCCGACCATTTTTACTATTATACTTTATTTTTTATTTTAAAAATTATATTCTTAAGCTGAATCTTTGTACTAAAAACGTTTCCAGAATTTACAACCGGAAAGTAATATATATTTTAGATTAGGACGAAACGGTTCGTATCCTGTATTGCCAATCGATGAATACATCGAATTTTTTTCGAATTCAAGTTTCAAGATTAGGTTTTCAAGAAATGTATAAAAATTCTAAGAATTCAATGCTCCGAGATTCTATGAAACTTTGATAAAAGTTTTAAGTTTCCATTTTCCATCTCTGATGAGAACCGTGGATTTTTTTGGTAAAGATATATATATATATTATAGTTATCTTAAAAACGATTAAAAAAGTCGTGGACCGAATGGCCACTGATAAAAAAAATTCTTGCACAGGGAACGACGAAAGGTTGAAAGCAAATCAATGTCATTTGTAGAGTAAAGAGAAACACAATTCCGTATTGAGATATTTCTTTGTGACGTGAATACTTTATTTCGAAAAGGAAAATGCGATTTTACGACAAAACTTATCCGGTATATATATTGAGAGGAATAAAAATAAAAGTTTTTCTCTTCGAAGAATTCTAGTTCACTCAAGTTTTCAATTGAACTGCAAAGCACTGTTTGACATTGAGAGAAATTAATTTATGAAAGCCTGTTTTAAATGGGAATCGACAATAGAAACCTAAATATTTTCGATCATAATATTAAGAAAGTATATATAATATACCTATAGTGCATTTTAATATGAATTTATCCTTTTTCGATTAATTTACCCAATAAGATTCGTATTTTAGCCATATTTTATGCCAAATATATTGTAAACTTTTCTAGAGATTTTATAATTCACCCATTATTGCGGTAGTGAATATATCGTTAGTGGTGCTTTGCAAATTTCACAATCTGTTATAAATAAATTTAGTAGAGCTTTTTGCACAGATAATTTCTATATGAATATAAATATATCGGTAAATTATAGTTTGATTTTGTTGTTTTGATGTATATTAAACTTAAAAATGACCTCACCGGAAAATATAAATTATTTTTTAAACATATTTGCAAATTTTCAATAACTTATTTCTGTATAAATTGACATGCCATTGATCATTTTGTACTATGAAAACAGCTGGACTTATAATAACAAATCGCTGTAAAAACTAAAAACGGTCTCTATTCTTACTGAACAGTGAACAGCAAATTAATAGAAAGATACAAATTGGTATGTAGAATTATACAGAAGTACTTCATGTAACAATATAGTCAATAGCAGTTTAAAGACAACTTTACAGTACTTAGCAAAACTTTGCGAATTTTCTAGATAAAAACTCCCTTGTTATCTAAACACTTCTTTCATTTTACACATCAGTTGATCTTGCATTGATCTTGCTAAGGAGAATCGTATTTGCTAAAACGTTGTCTTTAAACTGTGAACTGTTTTTTCAACGAAAATTCACATGAACTTGTCTATTGTGGCTTTGAATTATTCAAAGCTTTTTAATCTTGTTTTTTACTCGTGGACATGCTAAGAGAATAATGAACCGGCTTTGAAAATCAGCACGCTGAAATCAATACTTCAAACTTTGACAAGTTTTAAATTATGCGTTGCAAAAACAAATGACTTTCAGTATATAAATACTGTACTGGATTGTTTGTCTCGATGTAAATTAGTTTTCTGTTCAATATACATTCTATTTGTTTATATGAACTCTGATTATTTACTATAATTATATACGAATTGTTTAAAATTGTTCAATAAATATCTTATTGTTAAGGAACTGATGTAGCGTTTTCACTGCCTCAGAAAGAAATAACCGTCTTCAGAAACCTATTTCTTAGCAAGGTTAATACAATTTGTCTACGGGACTTTGAGGACACATGATCTGCCATGTTTGAATGCGATTTTTTAGACGCAAAGTGACATTTCACGCAACGTTTTCACTCCGACACGAACATGTACTTTCATCTACTAGACTGTCATGATATTTCATCATAATTTTTGTTCTCTTCTGTCTCTAAGCTGACTTCCTCTGAAGGATGGGAATATTTACATGCATCACCCAACGAACACAAACCTTTTTTGAACCTTTTGCATTCAAAATTCTTTAATCTTTCTTCGTTGTAGGACGGTGTTTTTCGCTTGCCTTGATTTCTCTTGCGTTTATCCGCAAGCTCGTCGGAATCATCGACACATTTGCGAGCTCTTAAAAAAGAAATAAAAAGGCAAGATTTTAGAGGAAGATACTACCATTTTGTACCATACCCATACCATACCATACCATACCACATTACCATACCATACCATACCATACCATACCATACCATACCATACCATACCATACCATACCATAATCATTAACATACCATGCCAAACATACCTTGCCTTTGGTCCCCATTCTGGCTCAGGATTTTCAGGAAATCGCGTCATTTTGAGTTGTCTTGAAGTGGGATTGGCGCCGGGTTGAAACTCAAAGCTCACTTCTGTCTGCGGTGGTTTACTCAATATTGCATGACCCGGAGAATTTTCATGTTCCTTCTTTAAGGGATGTCTCTTTACCCATTCTCTCATTATATCCCAGATGACTAAAAGGTAAAATGATTTTGAAATAACCAATTCAGGCCTTTCTCCAAATGTTTCCAAAGAGAACCACTATTACCTGATTTATCTGATTTGTAATGGATGAGTTAAATCATTTAATTCTGCCTCTTACCATTATTAGGTGCGTTCGTCTTCACAGCCGACTTCGCGGCGTGCGATCCCGAGACTTCATAGCCGCATCTCATTATAGCTGACCGCAATTGAATCATGGATGGTGTGGTACAATGAACGACAGAACTGAGTTGATCGAGGGTATGATATAAGGGTGAATGAGGAAGCTCTTCTGAAATGAGGGTGAGCATACCTGGGGGTAGAAAATGAAAAAATTACTGACATTTGCATCAGACCAAAGGTGCAGGTTTAAAAGCAAAAATGAGGGAACCAAACAATTAGCAACATACTAACCGATTATTCTTTCTGATGTTTTATAGTTCTCATGGCTCTTCTTCACTTTATTCAAGACCTTATTCACGAAATCTAAGTTGTGAATAGGTTCGGACCATATCGGGCCTCCAAGATGAAACTTTCGTCCACACTCCGGGCAGGTCTGCCCTACCGGAGGCCCGGTACCAGGGGGATACTTCTTCGAATTTCCCTGTTCTATACGCTTCCCAACTAGAGGTAAAGATTGAGGGTACAGATTAGCCAAACAGCATCACTGAGTTGAAACTTTTTCTGGACCTTTGTGATTATCTTGGACTTCATTTTTCTCTCTTTTGATTCCGTTCTACTCGTCACAGAAATGTACGTTTAAAAGCGGAAGGTTTTTGATTAAGTCTCGCATTTTTTACTATCAAAGAGATATTTTACATACATGGTATCCTGTTTACCAACAATTTATCTTTAAATACTGCAATTTCATTCAATTCCGTTACGATTAGAGCAACCGATTGTAACAAATAGGAAAACGTACCTGGTTGAAAGAAACAGCTTCCGCAGCCCAAACAATGGTAGACTAAGGATTTCTTGCTTGCAGATCTCTTCACCTCAGCAGCGCTTGTGAACACTTGCAAAAAGACGCGGATATAGAAATCTGCGCTAACAGAAACTAAGGGAACAATATAACGCTTGTAGTGGTTCGCGTGAGAGTCGATACAAGATAGAAGAATCCTCAATGCCTAGAAAAGAAGTAAAATTTGTTAATCTTATGCACAAGAAGCCTGCAAAGACACCAATAGGGGTTCATGTTCTGCCTTAGGAACTTCCAAGGCACAATTCCACATCTAAAGCATTACTATATAGGATAACCCAAATGATCTATACATATATCTCCATACCATTTCATGGCAAAATTTCCCTTTCAATGACATGCTACCATATTTTGCATAGCATGCCTCGCTGTGGTTACCACAGAGCACTGCCATGTCGGTACAGGTTACAGCCAACATACCACCATCGCTGATAGATTGAACGGCACCATCCAGAAACTCTGCAGGTGAACCATAGGGGTCAAGATCAATCACATCAAACCTGCATTGAACTGGATGTCTCTTCTGGTACATCACCAAACTGGTGGATGAGAAGGATTTTTTAACTCATAAACTAGAAACACACTTTCACAATGGGGTTAATCTTCTGGAAAAAGACTTAGCACTCTGAGTGCATTGCCAACTGAAAGATCAGCAAGAGATAAGCCAGTAATGTTTTTAAATGTAACCTGCCCTGGGGTATCAAGAGTCCATCTTTCACCAGACTACTTTACTTGTCAATTTTAGTGTATAATCTATAGATTAAATGAAACTGCACCTAGCATCCATTTGCAAAGGTTTGACAATGTGAGACACTTGATTGTCTATTACATTTTTTGACATCAGCTGAAAGGCTTCGGAACTTATATCACTTGCAACAATCTCTTCAACTCCAGGAACTTCTAAAGCGTATCTGATTGAACGCAATCCAGATGCTGCTAGCCCTTCAAACAGGACTATACCAGGGTCTGTATTGCTTCCTGAAATGAAAAATTGGATGAATTAAGCTGGCACACATAAAATGATGGCTCGTTTAGGAATGATCACCACTATCAATCAGTGTCAAATCAGCAGTTTCAGTTTCCTGATAGTAAATATTTGCTGATGCGTACCAGTACTAGCCTGTTCACCAGCTACATCCTTCTCAATACACTCCTTGCGTTTTTTCTTCTTGAACTTGACAGTTAACGGGAAAAGTTCCTCGGTGTAAACCTGTATGCAAGCAACGCTCAAGTCCCTGTTGAATACTTGGACAGGGTTATAAAACACCTCGTTAGGATTAGTAAACGTTATTTTCGCCTTTCCTTCATGGACCTCCTTACATTTAGAAGCCTCGGTTGCTTCATCCATTGCAAATTCTATTGATAGATTATCAAAACGTACGAAAAACACGAACAATTTTACCTAGATTAGGTCAAATTTAGCCTCCTCCGCAGGCATCTCTTATGCATTTATATTAGGCATTTATATTTGGCCTGGGTTAGCTGTGTCGGGGAAGGCGAGGAAAAAAGTGGGAGAGATGCCTGCCATAAATCGACACAAGAATTTGCACTGCGCATACCAGCTCGCGCATGCTAATTTTAGAAAAAAACGACAAAATCATACTGTGTATAGGCGGGAGTGGAAAGGAGTGAAAGCATATTGCTACAAATTTGCGTAAAATTTTGTGGTTTATTAAAGAACGAATAAAAGTGTTCTGAAATTGTAACATGATAATCCGTGAAGTATGTAGTCTGTAGAATATAATTTGATTCTTTTGATATCGATTTTATCCATATAAAAATATTATTTCGCATGTCAAGTTTTGTCAACATCACAACATGGCTGTGCATAATAGGCGAAATCAAGCAAATGTTATCGGGAAAATGTCGAATTTGCCTGTGTTTGAACCATTAAACACGCAGGGTTTTAACGCACACTGTGAAGACGAAGGAATATAAGTTTTAATTCAAGCGAATAGTTCTCGGGAAGCTGCAATAAATGTGGGATTGATGTTCGTCGAATCACTCGAATGTATTGCTAGATCATAGATGTATGCCTTCTTCTCCTGTGTCAATACATTGCATGCAACACCCAAATCTTGTTTGTGTATACTCTAAATTATGGGGATAAAGTTTAGGTGCTATGTCTTCATTGTCTTGATTTAATGACAAAGACATACTGTCAAAAATATTTGCATAATAAAGTCCTACCAGGTTCAGGGTTAGATATTTGTAATTAGTCAAACATTGACAACATGCTTTCATTAGGTCTATCATCTATAACAATACATTCAATATGGAAATCACATGGGAAAGATTATAGGTACTTTATATAGTGCATAAACATAGTTACATAAACCAAAGATTATATTAATTTTTAACCTGGATATAGCTTTGTGCAGCATATTATTGAGGATGTTGTAAGATGTGGAATATTATCACTTTCTACATTATAACTATCTATTTAAAAATGCTACTAATTACTAAAGTTAACTAGGATATGATTGAAGTGAAAACCAGGCCTTATGCTTAATAAAACACTCCTGCTAGTTCATTAATAAAATGGCAAATAAAAATTTCTTATGTATATATATATAATTTATAGTGTAAGCACTTCTTGCAATTTATAATTATCTTTGTTTTGCCACAATGGCTAACATATGGAACTGGCATATCTACAAATGTATTACAAAAAGCAAATCAGAGTAATATCTGGCCAGATCCAATTCTATAAACATATTCAAATTCAGCTCGGTCAGAGTAACACCCTCATAACAGTAGAATCTAATGGAAGGGAACCAAAAATAAATATGTGTAACTTATAAGAAATTTAAAAGATTGCACAGCATAGAAGTTAGATCGAAATTTGGTCAACTTTTCCCACATATGACAATTCCTAACAATGAAGGGTTCAGTTTTAAAACAGTTGCTTTTGATAGTCTCTTGCATTCTGGTATTGACTGGTAACCCCTTCTCTAAGACTGATATAAAGATATCACTAGCAAGTTGCTTTGCTTGGACAAAGCCTACTTCCTTTTTAATTATTTCTTTAACTTTGGTTTTGAAAGCATGATGTGTAGAAGTAGGATTGTCATTGACTATAAAGCAACAATATTTAAGTAAGTTGGCCCTTCATGTACAGAAAAATTAATTTATGGGACCAGCTCAGATGAGCATTTGAGTGCTGTATTAAATCCACACAGAAAATATCACACAAGGCAAGCACTGAGGGTAAATGCCATATACCACGCAGATTAGCATTCAGAAGGGTGAAACAGTAAAACGGTAATCGTGTTACGATGTCAGTTTGATTTAATGAATGTAAATATTCAATAGTGCATGACACAAACATCAATACACGCTGTAGCCTGTATATTCAATAGTTGATTCAATATCTTTGCTGCCGATCGACAAAGAATGTTTCTTGTATACTGGATTAAAAGACATTTTCAAAGCTTCGCTCCTTTCGAACCTCCTTTCACTCCTTCGCATTGAAGGACAATCGTGAATATATAATTAGAGTGCAAAACCTACTTAGGGGACCCGGGGTACAGCGACAAGTCCACGAGGTACAGCGACACGTCCATTTTGTGCGATTTATGGCAGGCATCTCACGCAAATTTTTTTCTCACTCCCCGACACAGCTAACCCAGGCCAAATATAAATGCCTAATATAAATGCATAAGAGATGCCTGCGGAGGAGGCTAGGTCAAATTTTAAAAATCTTGATCGTCATTTTGATCTCTTTAGCCTGCAAACAGGCTGAACACGTGCAATTTCGAAGTTGCGCAATATTTGCAAGTTTGCAAAAAAATCGATGCTTTAGTTTTGTAGAACAAACGTTTAAAGCCATAAAATAGACGAAATGAAAGCAAATTCCAAGCGATCTCGTGGCAGTAATTCACGCAATGCTTCCACGTCGCAAAACAACTCCTCCAAGGCTCATAACTTGTGTGAAAGACACGCATTTACGCCGCAAGAGATCGAAAATTTAAGACAGCAATTGTTAGATTGGTACGACGTGAACAAACGCGATCTTCCCTGGCGAAGATTGGGCGCACAGGAGAAGGACAGGAACCGTCGTGGCTATGCGGTGTGGGTCTCTGAAGTTATGTTACAGCAAACACAAGTCGCGACCGTTATCGAGTATTATAATAAGTGGATGAAACGGTGGCCAAGTTTGGAAGATTTGGCCAAGGCAAGTTTAGAGGAGGTCAATGAGATGTGGGCAGGATTGGGTTACTATTCCAGGGCAAGGCGCCTTCACGAAGGATGTAAAAAGGTACGTGAAAGTTCCAGACTCATTCAAAAGTTTGCCATGAATGATGTACTGGTCTCCCCCTTTACAATCCAAAATTCACCATCCTTCTTATTAGGTTGTGAAGGAGATGAATGGTGAAATGCCAGACAACGCCGGTGTTTTATTGAAGGATCTCCCAGGTGTTGGTAAATACACATCAGCAGCCATTGCATCAATTGCATTTAACGAACCTGTCGGTCTGGTTGATGGCAATGTGATAAGAGTCCTTTCCCGTCTTCGGATAATTGGCGCTGACTCCTCAAGCACAGTTGTGGTAGAGACGTTTTGGAAACTAGTTGATGAACTTATACCCCAGGATCATCCTGGCGATTTCAATCAAGCAATGATGGAACTTGGTGCAACAATTTGTACACCGAAATCACCTCAATGCAAATGTTGTCCAGTAAAAGACATATGTCTTGCTTATGATCAGGCCAATAATTATACCTCTAGAACTGAAAATAGTTTAAAGAGTTTCTTCGGAAGTGAAAAACAGGTAGAAGATTGTCCCAGTGATTCTTTGAGAGATATTGAAGATGTGGTGGCCAATGATTGTCAGCTGTGCTTGCCAAATGATTCACGTTATGATTCCAAACTAGGAGTTTGCAACTACCCCAGGAAAGCCAAGTTGAAAGAGGCACGTCAGGAAAAGGTTGTCGTTTGTGTCCTAGAATGTGCGGCTGGTGACGATATGTTGTTGTTTCTGGTGAAGAGACCCTCAACTGGACTTCTGGCTGGTTTATGGGAGTTTCCTAATTTCATAGTTGATTCAGAGTCATCTAACAAATCTTTAATTAGTAAAGTTGAGGAATTCATGAGAGAACAATTTAACAATTTACCTGACAGTGTGAAGATATTCTTTCTGGGTGAAGTTGTTCATCTATTCTCACATATCCATCATACATACATTGTTCACAAGATAGTCATACCTGAATCTGCCCAGGAAAACATGACAACAGGTCAATCAGCTGATGGTCGAAGCACAAAGTGGGTGACACAGTTGGAGTTTCTAGAAACGGCCGTTTCAACTGCTATGAAAAAGGTCTATAACTTGTACAAAAATAATGGACAGCTTAAAACGACTGGTGTTAAAAGAAAAAGAGTGACAAAGAATGACAGTAAAAAACAGAAAGTTTTGGAATCATTCTTCATAAAAACATCATGAGAATTAATGATTAAGAAATAGGAAAATCAATTGTTATAAAAATACATTCAACAGTTTTGCACTTGTTCTGCACATCTGCAGAGTTGCCCTCTATTTGAGATTTGGTTTAATTCTCAATCATTTACCCAAAATTGTATTTACTATCTAGTTTTGTGAAGGAATCAATATATACTGTATGTACATCTATAGATCACAGAAAACGTTTTCATTGGAAAATAAATATCTGTACATAGTTGTCAGCATAGTGGATTGCATTGTTATAACTTTGATTTACTTGGTTCCTGCATCAAAGTCATAGCCCTGAGTCGAGGAAACAACCGCCTGAACAACTCAAAGTCTCCGAACATGTTCGAAAAGTGCCCAGTCAACCCGCACTAAAGGGGAACAACTGAGGTCTCCCGAACATGTTCGACAAAGTGCCCAGTCAACCCACACTAAGAGGGGAACAACTCGAGGTCTCCCGAACATGTTCGACAAAGTGCCAAGTCAACCGCACTTAGAGGGGAACAACTCGAAGTCGCAGAACATGATCGACAATGTGCCATGTCAACCCGCACTAAGAGGGGAACAACTCGAGGTCTCCCGAACATGTTCGACAAAGTGCCCAGTCCCGCACTAAGAGGGGAACAACTCGAGGTCTCCCGAACATGTTCGACAAAGTGCCCAGTCAACCCGCACTAAGAGGGGAACAACTCGAGGTCTCTTGAACATATTCGACAAAGTGCCAAGTCAACCCGCACTAAGAGGGGAACAACTCGAGTCTCGAACATGTTCGAAAAGTGCCAGTCAACCCGACTAAAGGGGAACAACTCGAGGTCTCCCAAACATGTTCGACAAAGTGCCCAGTCAACCCACACCTAGAGGGGAAAAACTCGAGGTCTCCCGAACATGTTCGACAAAGTGCCAAGTCAACCCGCACTTAGAGTGGAACAACTCGAGATCTCAGAACATGTTCGACAAAGTGCCAAGTCAACCGCACTAAGAGGGAACAACTCGAGTCTCCCGAACATGTTCGAAAAGTGCCCATCAACCCACACTAGAGGGAACAACTCGATCTCAGAACATGTTCGACAAAGTGCCAGTCAACCGCACTAAGAGGGGAACAACTCGAGGTCTAAACATGTTCGACAAAGTGCCAGTCAACCCACTAAGAGGGGACAACTCGAGGTCTCAACATGTTCGACAAGTGCCAGTCAACCCGCACTAAGAGGGGAACAACTCGAGTCTCCCGAACATGTTCGACAAAGTGCCCAGTCAACCGGCACTAAGAGGGGAACAACTCGAGGTCTCCCGAACATGTTCATAAAGTGCCCAGTCAACCGCACTAAAGGGAACAACTCGAGGTCTCCCGAACATGTTCGACAAAGTGCCAAGTCAACCTGCACTAAGAGGGACAACTCGAGGTCTCAGAACATGTTCGACAAAGTGCCAGGCAACCCGCACAAGAGGGGAACAACTCAAGTCTCCCGAACATGTTCGAAAGCCCAGTCAACCGCACTAAGAGGGGAACTACTCCAGGTTTCCCGAACATGTTCCATAAACTGCCCAGTCAACCGCACTAAGGGGAACAACTCGAGGTCTCCCGAACATGTTCGACAAAGTGCCAGTCAACCCACTAAAGGGGAACAACTCGAGGTCTCCCGAACATGTTCGACAAAGTGCCAAGTCAACCGCACTAGAGGGGAACAACTCGAGTCGAACATGTTCGACAAAATGCCAAGTCAACCGCACTAAGAGGGGAACAACTCGAGGTCTCCCGAACATGTTCGACAAAGTGCCCAGTCAACCTGCACTAAGAGGGGAACTACTCCAGGTTTCCCGAACATGTTCGACAAAGTGCCCAGTCAACCAGCACTAAGAGGGGAACAACTCGAGGTCTCCCGAACATGTTCCATAAACTGCCCATTCAACGCTGGGCGCTAAGAGGGGAACAACTCGAGGTCTCTTGAACATGTTCGACAAAGTGCCAGTCAACCCGCCCTAAAGGGGAAAAACTCGAGATCTCCCGAACATGTTCGAAAAAGTGCCAAGTCAACCTGCACTAGATGGGGGAACAACTCGAGGTCTCAGAACATGTTCGACAAAGTGCCCAGTCAACCCGCAATAAGAGGGGAACAACTCTAGGTCTCCCGAACATGTTCGACAAAGTCCCAAGTCAACCCCCACTAAGAGGGAACAACTCCAGGTCTCCCGAACATGTTCGACAAAGTGCCCAGTCAACCGGCACTAAGAGTGGAACAACTCGAGGTCTCCCGAACATGTTCGACAAAGTGCGAAGTCAACCGCACTAAGAGGGACAACTCGAGGTCTCAGAACATGTTCGACAAAGTGCCCAGTCAACCCGCACTAAGAGGGGAACAACTCGAGGTCTCCCGAACATGTTCCATAAACTGCCCAGTCAACGCGCACTAAGAGGGGAAAAACTCGAGGTCTCCCGAAACATGTTCGACAAAGTGCCAAGTCAACCTGCACTAAGAGGGACAACTCGAGGTCCCAGAACATGTTCGACAAAGTGCCGAGTCAACCCGCACTAAGAGGGGAACAACTCTAACGCATGTATTCTAAAAGCTCACTCACACTCAAACTCATTGAGTGTGAGATCTTAATCTTCTCATAACGTTTCAATGGCGGTATTTCCAGCCGAACAGGGGCTTGATTTTCAGTGATTTACCTTATATCTTTCCATCTATCTATCTATCTATTCCATCATTGATCAGCATTAACGAAATTTATATATCACACTCGATGAGTATGAGTGTGAGTGAGCTTTTTGAATAAAGGCTTAGGTCTCCCGAACATGTTCGACAAAGTGCCCAGTCAACCCCCACTAAGAGGGAACAACTCCAGGTCTCCCGAAAATGTTTGACAAAGGGCCCAGTCAACCGGCACTAAGAGGGGAACAACTCGAGGTCTCCCGAACATGTTTGACAAAGTGCCCAGTCAACCGGCACTAAGAGGGGAACAACTCGAGGTCTCCCAAACATGTTCAATAAAGTGCCCACTCAACCCACACTAAGAGGGGAACAACTCAAGCTCTCTTGAACATGTTCGACAAAGTGCCAAGTCAACCCGCACTAAGAGGGGAACAACTCAAAGTCTGCCAAACATGTTCGACAAAGTGCCAAGTAAATTTGCACTAAGAGGGGATCAACTCGAGGTATCCCAAACATGTTCGACAAAGTGCTCAGTCAACCCACACTAAGAGGGGAAAAACTCGAGATCTCCTGAACATGTTCGAAAAAGTGCCAAGTCAACCTGCACTTAGAGTGGAACAACTCGAGGTCTCAGAACATGTTCGACAAAGTGCCCAGTCAACCCGCAATAAGAGGGGAACAACTCTAGGTCTCCCAAACATGTTCGACAAAGTCCCAAGTCAACCCCCACTAAGAGGGAACAACTCGAGGTCTCCCAAACATGTTCAATAAAGTGCCCACTCAACCGGCACTAAGAGGGGAACAACTCGAGGTCTCTTTAACATGTTCGACCAAGTGCCAAGTCAACCCGCACTAAGAGGGGAACAACTCAAAGTCTCCCGAATATGTTGGACAAAGTGCCCAGTCAACCGGCACTAAGAGGGGAACAACTCGAGGTCTCCCGAACATGTTCCATAAACTGCCCAGTCAACGCGCACTAAGAGGGGAAAAACTCGAGGTCTCCCGAAACATGTTCGACAAAGTGCCAAGTCAACCTGCACTAGGAGGGACAACTCGAGGTCCCAGGACATGTTCGACAAAGTGCCCAGTCAACCCGCACTAAGAGGGGAACAACTCTAACGCATGTATTCTAAAAGCTCACTCACACTCAAACTCATTGAGTGTGAGATCTTAATCTTCTCATAACGTTTCAATGGCGGTATTTCCAGCCGAAAAGGGGCTTGATTTTCAGTGATTTACCTTATATCTTTCCATCTATCTATCTATCTATTCCATCATTGATCAGCATTAACGAAATTTATATATCACACTCGATGAGTATGAGTGTGAGTGAGCTTTTTGAATAAAGGCTTAGGTCTCCCGAACATGTTCGACAAAGTGCCCAGTCAACCCCCACTAAGAGGGAACAACTCCAGGTCTCCCGAAAATGTTTGACAAAGGGCCCAGTCAACCGGCACTAAGAGGGGAACAACTCGAGGTCTCCCGAACATGTTTGACAAAGTGCCCAGTCAACCGGCACTAAGAGGGGAACAACTCGAGGTCTCCCAAACATGTTCAATAAAGTGCCCACTCAACCGGCACTAAGAGGGGAACAACTCGAGGTCTCTTTAACATGTTCGACCAAGTGCCAAGTCAACATGCACTAAGAGGGGAACAACTCGAGGTCTCCCGAACATGTTCGACAAAGTGCCAAATCACCGGCACCTAGAGTGGAACAACTCGAGGTCTCAGAACATGTTCGACAAAGTGCCCAGTCAACCTGCACTATAAGGGGAACAACTCGAGGTCTCCCAAACATGTTCAATAAAGTGCCCACTCAACCGGCACTAAGAGGGGAACAACTCGAGGTCTTCCGAACATGTTCGACCAAGTGCCAAGTCAACCCGCACTAAGAGGGACAACTCGAGGTCTCAGAACATGTTCGACAAAGTGCCCAGTCAACCCGCACTAAGAGGGGAACAACTCGAGGTCTCCCGAACATGTTCCATAAACTGCCCAGTCAACGCGCACTAAGAGGGGAAAAACTCGAGGTCTCCCGAAACATGTTCGACAAAGTGCCAAGTCAACCTGCACTAGGAGGGACAACTCGAGGTCCCAGGACATGTTCGACAAAGTGCCCAGTCAACCCGCACTAAGAGGGGAACAACTCTAACGCATGTATTCTAAAAGCTCACTCACACTCAAACTCATTGAGTGTGAGATCTTAATCTTCTCATAACGTTTCAATGGCGGTATTTCCAGCCGAAAAGGGGCTTGATTTTCAGTGATTTACCTTATATCTTTCCATCTATCTATCTATCTATTCCATCATTGATCAGCATTAACGAAATTTATATATCACACTCGATGAGTATGAGTGTGAGTGAGCTTTTTGAATAAAGGCTTAGGTCTCCCGAACATGTTCGACAAAGTGCCCAGTCAACCCCCACTAAGAGGGAACAACTCCAGGTCTCCCGAAAATGTTTGACAAAGGGCCCAGTCAACCGGCACTAAGAGGGGAACAACTCGAGGTCTCCCGAACATGTTTGACAAAGTGCCCAGTCAACCGGCACTAAGAGGGGAACAACTCGAGGTCTCCCAAACATGTTCAATAAAGTGCCCACTCAACCCACACTAAGAGGGGAACAACTCAAGCTCTCTTGAACATGTTCGACAAAGTGCCAAGTCAACCCGCACTAAGAGGGGAACAACTCAAAGTCTGCCAAACATGTTCGAAAAAGTGCCAAGTAAATTTGCACTAAGAGGGGATCAACTCGAGGTATCCCAAACATGTTCGACAAAGTGCTCAGTCAACCCACACTAAGAGGGGAAAAACTCGAGATCTCCCGAACATGTTCGAAAAAGTGCCAAGTCAACCAGCACTAAGAGGGACAACTCGAGGTCTCAGAACATGTTCGACAAACTGCCCAGTCAACCTGCACTAAGAGGGGAACAACTCGAAGTCTCCCAAACATGTTCAATAAAGTGCCCACTCAACCCGCACTAAGAGGGGAACAACTCGAGGTCTCTTTAACATGTTCGACCAAGTGCCAAGTCAACCCGCACTAAGAAGGGAACAACTCAAAGTCTCCCTAACATGTTCGACAAAGTGCCCAGTCAACTGGCACTAAGACAGGAACAACTCGAGGTCTCCCGAACATGTTCCATAAACTGCCCAGTCAACGCGCACTAAGAGGGGAACAACTCGAGGTCTCCCGAACATGTTCGACAAAGTGCCAAGTCAACCTGCACTAAGAGGGACAACTCGAGGTCTCAGAACATGTTCGACAAAGTGCCCAGTCAACCCGCACCAAGAGGGGAACAACTCGAGATCTCCCAAACATGTTCCATAAACTGCCCAGTCAACCCGCACTAAGAGGGGAACAACTCGAGGTCTCCCGAACATGTTCGATAAAGTGCCCAGTCAACCCGCACTAAGAGGGGAACAACTTGAGGTCTCCCGAACATGTTCGACAAAGTGCCAAGTCAACCCACACTAAGAGGGGAACAACTCGAGGTCTCCCGAACATGTTCGACAAGCTGCCAAGTCAACCGCACTTAGAGGGGAACAACTCGAAGTCGCAGAACATGATCGACAATGTGCCATGTTAACCCACACTAAGAGGGGAACAACTCGAGGTCTCCCGAACATGTTCGACAAAGTGCCCAGTCAACCTGCACTAAGAGGGGAACTACTCCAGGTCTCCCGAACATGTTCGACAAAGTGCCAAGTCAACCGCACTTAGAGGGGAACAACTCAAAGTCGCAGAACATGATCGACAATGTGCCAAGTCAACCCGCACTAAGAGGGGAACAACTCAAAGTCTCCCGAATATGTTCGACAAAGTGCCCAGTCAACCGGCACTAAGAGGGGAACAACTCGAGGTCTCCCGAACATGTTCCATAAACTGCCCATTCAACGCGCACTAAGAGGGGAACAACTCGAGGTCTCCCGAACATGTTCGACAAAGTGCCAAGTCAACCAGCACAAAGAGGGACAACTCGAGGTCTCAGAACATGTTCGACAAAATGCCCAGTCAACCTGCACTAAGTGGGGAACAACTCGAAGTCTCCCAAACATGTTCAATAAAGTGCCCACTCAACCCGCACTAAGAGGGGAACAACTCGAGGTCTCTTTAACATGTTCGACCAAGTGCCAAGTCAACATGCACTAAGAGGGGAAAAACTCGAGGTCTCCCGAACATGTTCGACAAAGTGCCAAATCAACCGGCACCTAGAGTGGAACAACTCGAGGTCTCAGAACATGTTCGACAAAGTGCCCAGTCAACCCGCACTATAAGGGGAACAACTCGAGGTCTCCCAAACATGTTCAATAAAGTGCCCACTCAACCCGCACTAAGAGGGGAACAACTCGAGGTCTCTTTAACATGTTCGACCAAGTGCCAAGTCAACCTGCACTAAGAGGGGAACAACTCGAAGTCTCCCAAACATGTTCAATAAAGTGCCCACTCAACCCGCACTAAGAGGGGAACAACTCGAGGTCTCTTTAACATGTTCGACCAAGTGCCAAGTCAACATGCACTAAGAGGGGAAAAACTCGAGGTCTCCCGAACATGTTCGACAAAGTGCCAAATCAACCGGCACCTAGAGTGGAACAACTCGAGGTCTCAGAACATGTTCGACAAAGTGCCCAGTCAACCCGCACTATAGGGGGAACAACTCGAAGTCTCCCAAACATGTTCAATAAACTGCCCACTCAACCCGCACTAAGAGGGGAACAACTCGAGGTCTCTTTAACATGTTCGACCAAGTGCAAAGTCAACCAGCACAAAGAGGGACAACTCGAGGTCTCAGAACATGTTCGACAAAATGCCCAGTCAACCTGCACTAAGTGGGGAACAACTCGAAGTCTCCCAAACATGTTCAATAACGTGCCCACTCAACCCGCACTAAGAGGGGAACAACTCGAGGTCTCTTTAACATGTTCGACCAAGTGCCAAGTCAACCCGCACTAAGAAGGGAACAACTCAAAGTCTCCCTAACATGTTCGACAAAGTGCCCAGTCAACCGGCACTAAGACGGGAACAACTCGAGGTCTCCCGAACATGTTCCATAAACTGCCCAGTCAACGCGCACTAAGAGGGGAACAACTCGAGGTCTCCCGAACATGTTCGACAAAGTGCCAAGTCAACCTGCACTAAGAGGGACAACTCGAGGTCTCAGAACATGTTCGACAAAGTGCCCAGTCAACCCGCACCAAGAGGGGAACAACTCGAGATCTCCCAAACATGTTCCATAAACTGCCCAGTCAACCCGCACTAAGAGGGGAACAACTCGAGGTCTCCCGAACATGTTCGATAAAGTGCCCAGTCAACCCGCACTAAAAGGGGAACAACTTGAGGTCTCCCGAACATGTTCGACAAAGTGCCAAGTCAACCCCCACTAAGAGGGGAACAACTCGAGGTCTCCCGAACATGTTCGACAAGGTGCCAAGTCAACCGCACTTAGAGGGGAACAACTCGAAGTCGCAGAACATGATCGACAATGTGCCATGTCAACCCACACTAAGAGGGGAACAACTCGAGGTCTCCCGAACATGTTCGACAAAGTGCCCAGTCAACCTGCACTAAGAGGGGAACTACTCCAGGTCTCCCGAACATGTTCGACAAAGTGCCCAGTCAACCGGCACTAAGAGGGGAACAATTTGAGGTCTCCCGAACATGTTCCATAAACTGCCCATTCAACGCGCACTAAGAGGGGAACAACTCGAGGTCTCCCGAACATGTTCGACAAAGTGCCAAGTCAACCAGCACTAAGAGGGACAACTCGAGGTCTCAGAACATGTTCGACAAAGTGCCCAGTCAACCTGCACTAAGAGGGGAACAACTCGAAGTCTCCCAAACATGTTCAATAAAGTGCCCACTCAACCCGCACTAAGAGGGGAACAACTCGAGGTCTCTTTAACATGTTCGACCAAGTGCCAAGTCAACATGCACTAAGAGGGGAAAATGTCGAGGTCTGTCGAAGATGTTCGAGAAAGTGCCAATCAACCGGCACCTAGAGTGGAACAACTCGAGGTCTCAGAACATGTTCGACAAAGTGCCCAGTCAACCCGCACTATAAGGGGAACAACTCGAGGTCTCCCAAACATGTTCAATAAAGTGCCCACTCAACCCGCACTAAGAGGGGAACAACTCGAGGTCTCTTTAACATGTTCGACCAAGTGCCAAGTCAACCCGCACTAAGAGGGGAACAACTCAAAGTCTCCCAAACATGTTCAATAAAGTGCCCACTCAACCCGCACTAAGAGGGGAACAACTCGAGGTCTCTTTAACATGTTCGACCAAGTGCCAAGTCAACATGCACTAAGAGGGGAAAAACTCGAGGTCTCCCGAACATGTTCGACAAAGTGCCAAATCAACCGGCACTAGAGTGGAACAACTCGAGGTCTCAGAACATGTTCGACAAAGTGCCCAGTCAACCCGCACTATAGGGGGAACAACTCGAAGTCTCCCAAACATGTTCAATAAAGTGCCCACTCAACCCGCACTAAGAGGGGAACAACTCGAGGTCTCTTTAACATGTTCGACCAAGTGCCAAGTCAACCCGCACTAAGAGGGGAACAAGTACATGTACTCGTACAACACAGGGTACAACCCAAGCTTTGGCTGCAGTTTCATCTTCTTCACAACAATTCCAGATGTCAAGTCCTTCGTATAACACTAGAAGATTCTTTGGTAACCAACGATCAGCAATAAAATCAAATCGTTGGAGAAAAGGGAAGGACTCGAAAAAACGAAAAAGTAAGTACTGGGCCGTTCTCACGTGATGTTATCCTACTAACTGGTCCAGATGTCAAGGACATACCCCGGCAAGGAAGTAAAGTGTTTTTACAAGAAAATGGACACATTATTAGTGCCTTTGAGTTTCAGAAAGAGTGGAGTGACATTGACGTAGAACTTGAAATACGTCAAGCTTTCCAGGGAACACTGCCTGATGACGTTGATATTGAAATTGTCCATTCTGTCCACACAACACTGCTCAAGCCTACATTGGCACCAGGTCAACATTTAACTGGTTCTGTAATCAACAGAGTCTTCAGTAACAATAAGCCAGTGTATGTTAAGCCATGTAGACAAATGTTACAACAACCTATCAATAAAGAGAAGCGTCAAAGGTATAACCTTCCTGAGGATGTGTTTAATGAAGATAATGATGATTATGACAGGTTGCCACAAACTCTCAATGAAAACTCATTTGGCACATTGGAAGGTACGAAATGCTATTTATACAGCAATGGCCCGGCTGATAAGAAAATAACTTTCTTAACAGTTAGCCAAGTCAATTAGTTGCACCTTTCATTGTGGTCATTTATTCCTAGACTAGTCTAGATACAGCAGTGTTGTCTTGAAAATGTTTGAAAACAACTTCTAGTTATCTGCATAACACAAGCTTTCCTAAGTTTTTGCCAAGCAGGGGGGGGGCTTGAATCATGATTGATGGGTACCATTTAATAACTTGTTTTAAACTTTAAACTATATTTTAAAACTATATTTAAACTCTTTTTATATTGGGAAACCTTTGAAACAATTAAGGTGAGACAACACAACTCACTAAAGTTAACCCAGAGAACAGGGTTTCTCCAAATACTTGTGCTGCTGTCTCGACTTAACCATTGATAATTAAGAGGCAGTAAGTGTACTAGTCACACTTGCCAATTTTACTTGCCATTCGTACTTCTCATAGTTTATGATCAACAATGAAGTTTAATAAATATCGATATTATAAGTATCAGCAGCTTCCCAAAACATACATTTGCTATATTAAAAAAAATTAATATAAATACTTGTGATGGTTTTATTGTTGTTTATGAAGTTTAATGGATTAGGGATGAAAAAATAAATTGTGGAATATACTGTTTACACTGTTATTTTAATCCAAAATTTTATAGATAATAATATAAACAACCAAACTAGTCATGTCATGCATGGAAAGTCAAGTCAAATTGCTGTGGTCCTTGATGATGAACGAATCCAACAACTGCAATTGCCAAACAGTAACCATCCTGAAGCATCTGAACATGAAATTACGAGTGAAGTAGAACAGATCAACTATGTCAAGCCTGCTGATACTCTTGTAGATATGACCCAGCACGAACCACCTAGCCAAATAATGCAGAATAACCACAGTCAAATGGACATAGAAGAACCACTTCTCTTTCAAGGTAAACAATTCTTTCAAATTGAAATTTTATAATACATTTTACAAACGCATGTAGGTCGGATTCGCCATTCACAACATTTTAACGGCGGATGTTTCTCTTGCCATACTTTCAGTAATGTTAGAAAGTTTACAAGTTTCTTTGAGTGTTTTTTGTATCGGCAGATTGTAGAGATGCAGTCATTGACGCACAGGGTCAGTTGTCTAACGATGCTCAACTAACGAACACTCAGTTGGTCAAAGAAATCGCTATTAACCGCAATAACGTTTTAAAGGACATGATCACTGCATTTAAGGACGAAGAAGTTTTGTTTATTAATTATAATAACTTGTAGTGAATGGCTTGTAGAGTCTTTTCATCAATACATATCCAAAGATGAGAGTAAAACACTAAAAAGAAGTGTCTCTGACGAATGCCCTGATCCATCAGAAGACAAGGATGTAACTGACTTTCTCACAAGCTACAAGTGCCGCAGAGTGGTTAGAAAGGACACCATGCCAAAAATAATCGAGGAATTAGCACACCAAGAGATTGTACAGCGTCCGAAATACGTCGCTAATGCCTGGTCTCCGATCGTGAACCAACTTAAACGTTTTAAAGAATTTGAAACTGTTGATAACTTGGTGAGCCTTTATCAAGCTAAAAAGCCCACTCAGAAAAAAGTTTGTAAGCTTTTGACCTCAAATCCAGCCACCGATGCCGAAAGAGAGTGCTTCTCACACTTAAAGCGGTTCGTTAAATCCCTTGACGATAACCTAGTGAGTATTTTTCTCCAATATGTGACCTTCCACGGGAAAACATACGTTAACGATATTTCGTTCGTTCGAAAATATCGTTCGTTATCCGTTCGTTTGCCGTTCAAACGCTTGAAGCGTTCGTTGAAACGATTTTCGAGATCGTTCATCGTTCAAAATTGCCCGTTCGAACGCTTAGGAAAAAACGTTTGAAAATTGGTCCGAAAGCGTTCAACCGTTTGATTTACCGTTCGTTGAAACGTTTGCCGGAATTTCGTTCAATCGCATTGGATTTGGTTCAACATATTAGATTAAACATTTGCAATGCTACAACTTTGTAGAAGAAGCGCAGAATGTGCTACACAGAAATACTCCCGGAAACGTATTCAGTTCCTTAGTATAGAAGGCTTGTAAAGGAAATAGTGGGGTTATATCAATCTAGCCTAATCGAATGCTATTTTGTGCGCTTCATGTTATGGTTTATGCTTAGCGTCATGCAGACAGAAGGCTATTAAGATTCAGTGCATGCAATTATTCCATTAGCGTCAAATTTCACGTCTTAAGCTTTCTCTCAAAAAATTATCGTTTTTTGAATTTCGGTAATGCACTAAATTGTTAGAATTTGTGCTTTACTATACTTCTGTAGCTTCCATAAGCCAAATTTCACCGCGCACCCAAACAACTCGCAAGCCATATATTAGCATTACGAGCCATAATATGCCTTGGCAAGGTGCTAATTAAGTTGCATAATTGTCGGAAGTCTCTAAATTTATGTAAACAGACAAAACCAGATTCTAAAATGAATTGAGGGATTTTGCGTGTTACATATTAATATCGTACTTTTAAACCATGTGTATATATAGCTAATTTATTTACATCTGATAAACTTATCTGGCCTCCGTACGAACAGCTACTGATTAAAATCTATTCAAAATTAAGGACCGCATCCTAGGACGGACCTTTCAGCTTGAAATTCGTTGTCTTTAATGCAGTCTGACATAGCTACAAATTATACAACAATTGAAATACCCTAGGTAATATTTGAAGACACAAACACAGTGACCTAACGCGCGTTCGGTAGGGTTACGACGAGAACTAAGAGATCCTCATTTATTAGAGGCCAGGATAGATAACAAAATATCATAGTATAAGCAAAACGTGATTTATGACAAACAGGAAGCCCGCAGTACCAAGTATACCTCAAGACCCCATCCTCAGCTCTGTTCGTTACGCCACTGCATGAATATAATAGCAATTTAAATATGCACGTGCATCTAGTCTAAAACTAGAGCCGGAGCAACAAGATCCTCAGTGCCCCGCTTACAAAATTGTCTTATTTCCTTAAAAAGGTATCTTTGTCTCCCCAGATCTAAGCCATCTGGCTCGATCGTTGCTGGCATGTTGAACGGTGGCAATTGCATAAATATAACTTATACATGGCATAAATATAACTCATGCATTGTAAATATTTATTTAGACTCTTAATTCACAAAAAAATAATACTTCATATATATTGATATATGCACATTTCAGCACAATTCACTCCCCATGTATATTTTGGTTGTAATTTGATTTCTCTCGACTTGCTCCTCGAATCGGAAAGGTGGAACGCGGAGAAGGCTCAAATCGTATAAATGATAGAGACTGTATGAGAGTAATGAACCTATATCAATGATGTTTATTGTGTGACTTTTTTTATTACAAAAAAATTCCGTGTTTTGTGAGGTTGAGTTTTGCGCTATGTTTTAAAGTGCGTGCAGTCCTTCATTGCGCACAACTGGGCTGACACAAGCCCAAAGGGCAAGTTGCCAAGCTAACGTTTACAAACATTTAAGTTTGACCTTTCAGATATTTTGCCACATATATTTCGCTATATATAATTCATCAGAAAAGGAGCATTGGAGTTTATCTTGCTTGGACAACATATCAGCTGTTGGGCAACAGGAAAATTTTCACTAATTTTGATTTGGCCTCCCTTGATTAGAAATTACATTCCAGATATTAAATTGCAACTATGCATGGTCATTGCACCTTGAAGCCTGCCAGCTAGAGCGGCAAAATGAGCAAATTTGAAATGGCGCCTGTCAACTGTTTATGCGTGCATGAGCGTGCGGGTAAAGATCTTTACCAATAATTTCGCGAAGACTGTCCCAAATATTTGCTGGATATTAGCATCTATGGAGAAGTCAAGGCGTTTTAACGCAAGCATATATAAAGGTTAATACCAGGTATGAACACTAAATGAAACATTAGCTATGATATAAGGAAAGTCATGACTTGGCCACTTTATTAGGCGCGCTTGCAATTATTTTCCTCCAAGCATTGAAATCAGGCTTATTGATGAGATCATCAACAGAAATCGTATAACGGTTCTCTCGATTTAAACTAAAGTTTTTTTTTCCTTGAGTGTATTTGCTTGGCTTCTCTATTGACCATGCATATATATCGAAATATGACACGCATTCGAAGTAAGATTTCATATAGATGATCATGCAATTGTATATAACAAGACGTTCTCAATTGCATTTTATGTATATGTTAACGCGAGTAAAATGTATTCGGATATAAATGCGCACTGCAATTTGAAATTGGATGGTAGACCTTTCTGGGGTAAGTCTAACAAAGGTTTAGAATATCTGAGTATTAAGTAATTCACTTTTGACCTGGTATTTATTCATGTTTCGTTGGTGCACAATAGGTTTTGAAATTTGCGATTGTGCTTAACTTTAAAATGAACTAACTAGATTTCGTAGTCGTACTAAAGTTAGTCGTAGGCGTAGCGATTCTAAAAGTATTAGAAGCTAAACATGCACATGTTAGGTTGAGACATCCAGACCAAATGTTTGTATTTTCAAGGTAAAGAACAAATATCGTTTGGTATGGTGCCGCTAAAAAACATGCCATATTCAACTTCGCAAAGCTCAAAAGCTGTAATACCACTTGCAATAGCAAACTGTGGTGAAAATGTGTAAGTGGATAAAATTAATTATTACGATTTTTGATTACCCGTGCAAGTGATTCTAAGTTTCAAGGAAATGTACGCACAATTATTTTGTAAGCATTTGTATATGAGACAGAGTTTTGGAAAAGTCAGAAATATCGTGATTTTTACAAATATAAGTCTTTTATTTTATAGATATATTTGTTTAGTATTATTATTAAAAACCCGGAAAAACCTGGATTAGCGAACTTAAAATAAGAACCAAGGGTAACTTGTTATATATATGTTTAGGCAAAACATCAAAAGCATGATTAAAGACATCACAGTTGCCAAAGAAGAAATTAAAAGCAACGGAATGACAGTCGATGGTAGAAGATATCAAGTCAACTTCACAGGTTTGAATTTTTATTATCCAGGTTTTTCAACTGATTCAGATTTTTGTCTCCATGCAAATTCCATAATTTTTAACCGGTCCCATCCGAAAGGCCATGCAAGCAATTAATAGGACTCACTGCAGTAAGTATTTCCAAATGTAAAAAAAAAATTGTGGTTTATGCATGTGGAACAGTTTTTTTAAACTGAAGCTCGTGATTACAATTCTAACTCCATCTTTGCAATTGTGTGAAATGTAATCACATGTTTTCAAAAGTTGCGGATGCAATCTGCCAATTTTATTGCAAAAATTAAATATTTATATAGTGACACTAGACTATAAAGCGCTACTATTGATTGTAATCAAAAAAGAAAGGAAGGAAGAAGACCCACCAGCTGCAAAGATTAAAAGAAATATCCTTGGAGGAAGAGGATTAAGTGTAGAGTTTTGCGTATTTTGCACTGCTATTAGAGTAAGTATATAACAGTTTAGGACAACAACGGCGGTCGAGGAATTTAGGAATCTCTAAACTATCCGTCCTTCGTTCAGCCGCCGGATACAATTTAGGCATGCAACGGCAGCAACACGAACATATTTACTGTACATACATAATATATTCAATTGAAAAATTCAATTCATTTCAGTGACAGTTCTTTGCAAATGCATATATCCAGCTATTCGTGTTGATTTGACATGTGTTGTTAAATTATATACAATTCCCTTCACATTATTTAGGGATGTGCTTGTCCTGGGTTAGCAGCTGGAGAAACATGCATAGACTGTTTTGCTAAAAGCAAAGGAAACATTGGAAAGTATGAAAGATTAAATATAGAATTTAGAATAAATAATTCCATTCAGACTTTAAAACGCTGTTGCAATTAGTAATAGTTAGCAAGACAGGCGAGTAATTTCAACTCAATAATCTTTGTTTTCTTTTATACTATATAGTTGGAAAGAGATTCGTGATGACCTCACACTACTGCTGGATGAAGAAATGCATTCAGTAAATTTATGTGCATTACACTGCGAAATGAGAAACACGGAACAAATTCTTGGATCATTGGGCCTATACGCATATAAAATTGGGAGTTTGGACAATGAAAATGCGAAGCTGGGAGAGTTAGGACCAAAATCCATGAAGAAAAACTTTGTAAGAATTAAGGATTGCAGGAATAAGAATTTAGAAGTCACGAAAAACCACATAAAGATAGCATCAATTTCAGGTAATTAACAGAACCCAAAAATACGTCATAATATACTATTCAACCAAACTGAACGGTCTGTGA